GAGCAAATTCAAGGCGTTCTTCATCAAATCCAACATTCGATCCGAGACAACGGTGCCAAACCTTCGGATTAACGTTAATAAATTCAAGTCAAGATCACTGGAAGATTGAAGGGCCAAATCCATCAAGAATTTCAAGATCTTCAAGTCAAATCAAGTCAAAGTTCAACGTTCGATCCGAGATTCAAGTCGCAAGACCCTTGGAAAACGTTATTCAAATCCAAAATCAAATCCGGAGAAGATCAAGTCAACGACCCGACTCCGAAAATTCAAGTCAACTATATATTGTTCTAGAGAGAAGAATCAGAGGATTAAAATAGAGATTGTAACCCGCAATTTATTTATTTTAATTCAATAAAATCATCTTTGTTCAATTTTTCTTGTTTGTTTATATCGCAGATAAGAATTTGTTGTTACAGCGAGCATGCTAATTGATTTAATTTCGATTAAGTAATTAAGCATGTATGTTGTTTTAATTTCGCTGGAAGCGCAAAGGTACGCAATTAATTGATTTAAATTATCGGGCATGTGTTTATGTGCTTTAAAGTTGTTTAAATCGCATAAAATTTTTGTTTTCCGCTGCGTACGCGTGCCCGAAACCCAACAGTTCCTTCTTTTAGGTGTTCTGCTTGTTCTGGCCTTATTCATTTCATCTCAGGTGGCAGCCTCACAAGATGATCTAACAAGTGAGCTCAAACACACTATATGATGATAAGTACTATATATGAATGTATTTTTATATAAAAACGACAGAAAATTAAATGGAGTTTACTTATTGTCATTGTTATTAATTCGGCACCATTGTACTTGTTGAACTAATTAAGCTACATGATCAAGAAACTAAAATATATTTGATGTTACTGACAGGTGAAAGCGCGGTGGTGACAGCTGACGGCAAAGGCGGCCATGGTCATGGTTACGGCTATTCCGGCAAGGGCGGCCACGGTGGTGGTGGTGGAGGAAAAGGAGGTTACCGTGGTGGCGGTGGAGGAAAGGGAAAAGGTGGGTGCAGATATGGATGCTGCCGTGGATACAGATATTCACATGGTTGCAATAGGTGTTGTTCAACTGCTAATGAGGCTCATGATCTTCATTTTGCAGATGATATCCCCAATTAATTATTAATTGATTAATGTCCCTATTTATATATAGTTTGAGTTTTTGTTTGTTAGTGTGATATATGTGTAATAATTGGGATTAAAAAAAGGGGTTATTGCAGCTTGTATTTGTATGTGACCCCCTTATCCCATAATAATAAATAAGGCATATATATATATATGTTGAATTTGAATGCCTATCAAAGTCCACTCATCTGTTGAGACAGACTACATGTTACGACATTAGGTGACGTAACAGAATTGTTGTGTTGTCACAGTAATAAATCTACGAAAAGCAGAATAAAGAACACAACAATTTAATGTGGTTCGGATACAAACGTACCCTACATCCACGAGGACTTGCAAAACTAGTTCAGATTTATGTGTACATTAATAGGACTTAATAAAACACTAAAGACTCCCTCTTTATGTGATACGCCGTTCTTGCACATGACTCGAACTTGTTGATAATCAAAGCAATTCCTCCTCCGCACTCTTGGACTTCCTCCAATGTTGAACTTCCTTTAAACGGCGGATCGACCTCTCCCGAGATCTTTTAAGCACTTCTCCCGAAACGCCGATCTTCTTTATGGCCTGGTAGAAGAAACCTGTTCTGTTGCCACACCTGTCGTGCAGACAGGGCTGCAGCACGGGCTGCACCCTTCAAACCCTTTATGCTGGGATTTTTCTTATTAAAGCTCCATAGAACTCATATGAGGTTGAGGGCCTTATATAGGCACGAAATCCACCACCCTAAACCTAACTTGAGCCCTAAGAAATCGATTAACTAGGTAATAGAATCCTAGTCGATTTCTACTTCTATTCTAGATAAGTACAAAAGATACCTAACTAGAATATAATACATGGAAATAAATCTAAGTCCTAATAAAAATATTACAAGAATAGGACTCTAATTAATTCCAAAATAAACATGGAAAACAAATCTTTGCCAATCTTTAATTTCCACGTATGGCGGATTTCTTCAATCTTCCCAAACGGAAATTTGGTGCCAACAATATATATTTTTCCTCATGAACACCGTACATATATATATGTTGGTGTTCGTGAAAATTATATTATATTGCCACGTGCTTGAATGTGATTCAATCAATGGTCCATCAGTTTGTAATCGTTGTGTTTGAGCTTTAGTACTTGCTACCATTGCTTTTGAGATTAAATATTCCTATTTTTCTTAATTTAGTTGTTATTGTTTTAGAGTTATTACTCTAAAAATATCGGTTGGCCGATATTACCTGGCCAACATATTTTTTAGTAAACTGAAAACCACCAATCGACCTATTTATACATCTGTCGATTATAATTCTCAGGCCGACCATATGGGCTGGTTATCGGCCAATAAAAAATGGATCAATTGACCCATACGCAGCCCTACGTACCATGGTAAGTCAATCTCATGAACTATAAAGATTAATTACAATCACACCACTTAAATAACATAAGAACAATTACAGAGTGTTGACATCTTTCTTTAATGATCACTATTAAATTTCAGCTCTTGGTTTTGTGAATAAGATAGATATAAACAGAGAATTAGATTTTGATTGTATGGATTGTACTATTGATGACTGGTAGTTTACATTTGGTTTATACGGTTCAATTTAAAACAAATTAATATCAAATTATATTTATCCGTACTTACGGATTTCATGATTACCCTCGACAAAATATTTAAGATAAATATAAAATAAAATTTAACAAGTAATTATAAATAGTAAAATATGATAAAAGAATATTTTATATAATGGAGTTAAAAGCAGTTTGCACACCTAAACTAAGTTCAGTTTTAAATAATTTTTATATAAACTCGATTATTTGTCGCCTAAAGTGTAGGGATGTCAATTTGACAACTTGGACTCTTCCTAGAGATGGCACCCAAAGTAGACTAAAATGAGTGGATGCAAATGAATTCATTAGCCTTTTTACAATGGACTTAAATGCACATTGTTCCACAAAAAAAAAAAAAAAAAAATACAGTATTTCAAATAAACTCATTCTAATGTCTTTAGTCAAAAATACCCTCCATAATATATTTTTTGTCAATTCCATCCATTATGCTCTAACTTCCTTAATATTATACATTGACCCCGGATTTAAACAAATATATCACATTAACCCCCATTTTAATAATTTTTTGAAAAAATAATTTTTTTTTCAGAAAATAATTTTTTTTTTTCTGAATTTTTTTTCCGGCCAGATTCCGACGTTGACTTTTTTTTTTTTTAAATTTGAAATTTCTTAGAAAAAAATATTTTAATTAATATTTCTGTCTTGGCTGCTAAATTACTATCTCTGACAGTAATATTATGAATATTATTTTTCCGAACAGTAATATTACTGTCCAAGACAGTTAAATTACTGTTGGAGACAATAATTTAGCAGCCAAGACAGTAATATTAATTAAAATAATTTTTTTTAAGAAAAAAAAATTCAAAAAAAAAGAAAAGAAAAGAAAGTCAATTACTGTCTCCGACAATTAAATAACTGCTGGAAACAGTAATTTAGATAAAAAACAGTCATATTAATTAAAATATTTTTTTAAGAAAAAGAAAAATTAATTAACAGTTAAATTACTGTCTCCGACAGTTAAATAACTGTTGGGGACAGTAATTTAGCAGCCAAGATAGTAATATTAATTAAAATATTTTTTTTAAGAAAAAAAAAAAAAAAGTCAACGCCGGAGACCCGGCGGTCAACGGCGATTGACCCACCGGAAAAAAAAAATCAGAAAAAAAAAGTCAACGGCGGCTGACCGGCGATCTCCGGTGGTAGCGGGTCAAGATTGAAATTAGGGTGAAAATTGGTAAATTAGTGAAAGTGGGCTAAATTGAGGTGTAAATCATGAAATTGGAGTTGAAATGAGTTTCAATAAATTTGGGGTAATTTTGGTATATATATATATATATATATATATATATATATATATATATATATATATATATATATATATATATATATATATGTATATATATATATATATATATATGTATATATATATATATATATATATATATATATATATATATATATATATGATATGACTAATTGGCCCGACCCAATGGGCCTACAAATTATTTACCTATTGGGCCACGAGCCCAATATCGAAGACCACTATCACCGAGGCCCAATCACCTTCAAGCAAGGTTTGGGCCCGACAATCTCAACTAAGCTATAAATACACATTTGAACTCATTCCATAAGGTACGTCCTATTAACTGAGCAATACTATAACATGTATTCTCTGGACTATTTCTATGATCAGCACGTCTGACTTGAGCGTCGGAGGGGTTTCCGCCGGATCAACCCCCGGCTTAGTTCATGTGTGCTCATTTTGCAGGGATCTCAGGATCATCAAGTTGTCAAGCTACTGATCTGCTTTGCTCTCCCAGCTCGATTTTTACACTACATCAGGTGATCTAACTAATTAGCATCATCAATATATATATATATATATATATATATATATATAAAAGGATTTTCTTTATTTGCAAATAAGCTTGAATGAGGTGAAAATATTTACAAGACAAAAAAATTGGATATCCCTTTTTGAATTAAGTGCCTTTGTCATGGAGCTTTTTGAGATTAACCCAAAACTATATGAAGTAATTAATGTGTTGATCCGACAAGATCGTTTGGCACGCTTTGGCACGCTTTCTTTTCCTTTGTTGGAGTTCGACACCAGATCGTTAATTGCTTCAGTGAATGCTTCGGCATGTTCACCGGTTGCACGATCTTTGCCAAATATTTGCGTCCAATCCTTATAAAACGGCCACGATTTGTAACGCATTGAACGGGCGCTCGCATCCGTCTATGTTCATACACGTAATACCAATTGACCATTATGAATTGTATACAATTGTTATTATTAGATAATAGTGAAAACATTTCTCAACTAATGAGGAGAAGGGTTACCTTGATGTAATCCTGCCACACCTGGTCGTCAATGACGTCTATGGTGTTGTTAGAGTCATTCCAACCAAATCCCGACCTTGACAACATGGTGCTTAGTGCTTCGTAGTGTTTTTTCCACACGTGTATCTTGGAATGTATGTGAGGTGTTGCTTTAAGATCGGTCCCCGGAAATTTCTGAACCATAAATTGTTCAAGGGTTCCCAAAAAGCCGGTCTTAAAACCATTTTCACATTTCCAGCCTCTCGACACAATATCTTTGAGCGCCAAAATTAAGGTTTGCTCTTCAAGAACTATCCAACAACGCCTGCTGTTGGACACGTGGTTTTTGCTAGTAGTACATTTTTTCGGGGGAGCACGTGAATTATATGCAAATTAAGAAACCGATTGTAGTGCTAAAAACATTAATTCAGATTACACCAAGTCCATATAAAATGTTAACAGACTATGAATTTGTAAAGACATAAGAACCCATGTTCGGTAGAAATAAACACACAACGAAATAAATTAAGTTTCGTAAAGAAAGAGAATTGTATTGACTATCTATCTAGACAATAACCACTCATTGTACATGCTAATCGCAATAGAATCCCGCCACGCAGTCCACTCGTCCGAACTCTCAACAGTGCTAATGTAATCTTCTCCACTAATAATGCCTGGGTTTTTCCGGAAAAAATCGTCTAAAGTTTCTTCCTCCGGATCGAAGTCGTTGGTGGTTCGTATAAAATTATGCAGCAGACAACAGGCCATTACGATCCGGTTCTGTACCTTGATAGGGTAATATGCCGGGCTGCGTAATATGGCCCATCGTGACTTCAAAAGACCAAACGCCCGCTCGATTATGTTTCTTGCCTTCGCGTGTTTCATATTAAAATATTCTCTAAAATTTCTAGGTGCGGTTAGACCGTGCGCATAAGCATCGAGGTAGTATCTACAACCTCTGTACGGTGCCAAAAACTCTTCTCCGTTCGTATAACCATTATCAACCAAGTAGTAATTACCTGTAAAGGTGAAAGATTTACTACAGTTGTAATTGACTTTCACACGTCCTAGGTAATACCGAAGTTAACTTTAAATGACGTAATTTGGTACTCTACAAACTAATACTTACCCGTGGGGACTCGTAGACCATTATCTCGAGTTACCGCATCTCGAAGTATTCTACTATCGGCTGCAGACCCTTCCCACCCGGTAAGTAAGTAAATAAAGTTCATGTTATCATCACAAACAGCTAGCACATTGATCGACACATTACCCTTGCGACTCCTATACCTCGGCTTATCAAGATAAGGAACGCGACACCCTATGTATGTCCTATCTAGTGCACCAAGACAGCCCTAGTAAATAAGATACCATAATAAGGTGATTATTTAAACATTTTACGATTGCGTATCATAATAATCAGATTATTTGGTTGGTATCAGGTTACCTTGAAGTGTGCAAAACGCTCATTTTCACAGCCGTCGTCGACAGGTTTCGGTGTGATTAACAACATTTCGTGTAACTTAAGCAAAGCTAGAAGGACGCGGTTAAAGTGCTTGCTTACAGTATACCCGGATCTTTTAAAATGACTTCGAACAACAATATTCTTTGTGTGGTGGGCTAAAATTTGAAGAAACATTGCAACTTGTTCGGGTATAGAGACATTTCTATTTGCTTTAAGACCGCCGACATTTTCTAAAATGTAACACAGTCGGTAAAAAGTTTGTATGTTCATTCTAAGGTTGTCACGACATGTTACATCGTTTAAACCAACTATTGAACGCAAATAGTTGAGGTGTGAAGGGGTGCGGGATATCAAACTATAAGTCCTGCTGTTATTGTTACAGCGAGACAAACAACGACGATTTTTTTGACCAAATACATGTATAGACACCAAAAAAAATAGCCTCAGATTAAACATGAGTTGGTGTAGAACGACTACATCTTCTTGTTTTGAAAGATCCATCGCAAACCAACCTATCTCCTACATTAACATCAACACTCAAGTTTCAATTTTCGGTGTACAATAGCCATCATAGAGCCTGGGTGTCTATTAAATTATGCAAGCAACCAATTTAAGAATGTCTAATATTAAATTCTAAACTATGTTCACTGAGATATTAATTATACCACAAAATCAATTTGTTAAGCAAAATGAAACCCATAATCCAACTATAATCCTAAAAACCGTAAAAAAGGACACTCGACATTTGATTTCAGACTATAAGTGAAACCCATAATCCGACTGCAAACAAAACTTTAAATGAATACTTTGCTCATATTTGAAAATAACAGAAAAGTTCATCAATTCATCCTTGTAACAGAAATCATAATTAAGTGAAATGTAAAAGGGAAACCAAGCAACATGCTCATTCCCAGCATACCACTGGCATAACAGTTTTCACCCAAATTTCTAATGCTCGCATAATAAGCATATACACCAAAAAATATATAAAACGCACGAAAACAAGTTGGGTAAAAAGTGGCATATTTGCAGATTTTAAAAGTGTAGAAGTGGTCGCGAACAGCTTCGAAGCAATTACCTAGAACCAAATGCGATGGTGTTTGTCAACCAAATAGTTTCTTCTATTATCATTGAAACTGAAGGAATCAGTTTAAAAAAAACAGTACAAAGGAGAAGAGTGTGAAGTGGTCATATTTACCTCGGTTTTTTCAGCCTTCTTCAAATCTGGTGCCTCCTGTGTACCCAATACCGAAACCCTACACCAACTGGTAAATCAAATTTATACAGATTGATTCAACCGTATGGAGAGCGAAATATCTAAGAAAATGAGATATGTACCTTCTACCAGTAACAATTAGCAGCACCCGACTGGTCAACCCCGAACCCGTGTAGTTCCAATGCCGACGATAATCTCGAATTTGTGAAAATACGAGGGTTTAGCACCAGAAACAAGATAAAAGATGAAGATTGTGCCAAAATCGAAAGGCATGAGATTTTACCTGGATAAAACTAGGGCACGGTGGAAGAGTGAAGAAGATGAAGATTGTACTATTTATACCTATTAATTTTGTAATTGATGTGTTTTCTAAGGCTATTTTCGACATTTCACACGGCCAATTAAATGGGATACAATACCTGATAATTAGTCAAGCCAATTTTGGCTTGACTAATAATAATTCAAATGGGGGATTAAAACGGTGGGCCCATCAATCAAGGATGGTTTCGTCAAGTGAACCAAACATTATACACAATGGTACAATAAATCCCATCCCTTCTAATACCCCAAACCAAAGAGGCCCATTAGGTATTCGTGCCCTGAAATAAGTGGCTCGTAAATGATGATGTGTTTTCCTTTTTTCCCTAGATGTAATGACAACAATTGACAATCCGTATGGAAAGTTGAAGTTGAAAAGACAACCAGTATTTCATTTTAGTCTCTAACGAACACTCGGTTCAGTTCACTAGCGACTATGGAGAGTAGATGATGGGGAATATGTGACAAATAATAGGCCAAATATTCCCGTGGACCGAGTTAGATCTCCGAAAAAGGGTAAGGCTCAACTTAAAAGCTCACTCTTTGCGAATAAGCCCTAGAGGCTGCAATTGAAGGAGTTCGTCTTTTGACTAGAAAAGATCTCCTATCTTGAATCTTATTATTCAAGGAAAAGATCTCCTTCAAAGGGAAGAAGATAAAGGACTATTGTAGGTGCACTCTAAAAACCCTAACTATTTTAAATTTTTAATTATTTTGTAACGTCCTCTCAATTGGCCATTATGCACTCATTAAAACCATTTTAACCCTTACGGTCTCATCTATCCTACAAATAGAGTGACTAACTCATTTGCTAGAATAATATATAGCATAGCATATAACACTACCTATACACATACAAAAACCATGCATCATATTCTATATTTTTCTATACATACTTGGGGCACTTAGATAAGGTTCATTTTATCAGCTTCCTATGATTGTTGCTCATAGACAAAGCACCGACGAGGCTATTGAGTTTTATCTTAGAAATATGATCAGCGATCAATACCTGCACGAAGGGAGACAATCATTCTCTTAGGACAGTGTCATATGGCACGACTCCTATCCAGGCCAGCCATACTATTGCTTTTACTTTAACCTATATTCTAATTGTATAAGATTATATTAGTTTCAATATATTGCATGTTTTGAATTTTTTAATGGGGAAATTGGCTAGACACACTTTATTCTGGACTTATATAGGTGGAGATCTTAACTGTTAGATGAATATATGTCTAGGTCATTTGACAAAAAAATAATATAAATAAAATAAAATAATTAGTACATTGACATAAGCACCCTTAATTAAAAAGAAAGTAAATCCCATATACCACTCTCCCTCTCTCTCCAATCTCACTTCTCTTTCTCCCCATATATATAATCTCTCATCTCTCTCTCCCTCTCTATCTCGTGCCTCTCCATCATGTCTCTCTTCCTTACTGTATTTTTTTCGATAAGCATCTTTTCGAAAAAAAATCTGATCAATTTCTTACTCTCTTCTCTTTCTCGGTTCATTTTTTTTCTTTCCTTTTGAATCATGCCATACCTAGAGCCTTCAAAGTAACAAACTGTAAACAAATATTTATCGTTTGTTTTTTGGTTGTGGAACATGTTGTTTGTTCTTTATTTGGAGAAACCATTTGCTATTTTGGAGACCTTGTTTGTTGTTTGTATTTAATTTCTACTTCTCCTGTTGTTACGATGGAAGCAATACAGGAGATTCTCGCTCCGATCTTGGGTGGTGGTTCTACGGCAATCGACCCACGAGATTTTGATGCACCTCTTCTACGGCGTTCGGAATCCACCTTCTGCGTCCCCAACAATATCTTCGTCTCGGTCCCTACCATCCGCGCCGAGGGCTTTGACTGGTTTCACATTGGGTTCATTGCGGCGGCGCCAACTCTAGGATTTGTGACGGAGTTAGGACTGGCGGCAAGGGATTTGGGGTGAGTACCTCGGGTTTTTTTTCTTTAGTTGTTTTCATTTTGCATTTTGCAATTTCATGTTACATATTGTATCTCGTTTTGATTTTTCTTTTAGTTTGATGTTTGTATTTAGAGAAGTCATAGGTAATCTTTTTTTTGCAACTCAATAATGCAAATTCTGGAATTTCTTTTTTCAATTTGCTGTTTTCTGGGTGAATCATTGGTATTTTGTTGTTTGCAATCCAATAATACAATTTCTAATGTTCAATTTGCTATTTGCAGTTCACGGAGTCATATGCGTCATTTGCTATTTGCAGTTCACAGAGTCATAGGCGTCAGTTTGCTATTTGCAGTTCACGATAGACAATGGTGCGGAGGCGGTGTTGTTTTTAGAGTATGAGTTTGTAAAATAAATAGTATATTGTTTTTTACTAATTTATTTAATTTTTTTGTTAATATTTGCAAGAGAGATGTTTGAAAATTTGTGTTGATAGGGAAGTTTTTAGGGAATTTGATTTGATTTAACTAAGAATATTTTTGACATCATATATATTATTAATTTATTAAAATATGGATATTTTGACTTGAATTTATACACATAAATTATACTATATAGGTAACTATAGCAAATCGCCCATATGTAAAATGTGTTTTCCAAAATATCGACAACAATTTCTTACGCAATAAGAGGTGTGTCATGCATCGTGACGTAGATTATTCAAAGGTACACTGACTCATCTTCTCTCATCACATACTACAGCATTATTACAATATGTGGACCCCCCAATACAGTAAGAACAAAATCACAGCCAAGCCACAAAAATCTCATCCCTATAATTTTATGCCTATAAATGCAGGTGAAAACTCGATTAAATCTTCATCCACAACTTCACAAATAATCACATAAGTAGTGAAAAATGGCTTCTTCAAATAAATTGTTCCTTCTTTTAGGTATTGTGCTTGTTTTGGCCTTTCTCACTCATATGATCCAATAAGTGAGCTCAAACACTATACTTCAACTTCCATTCATATATATATATATATATATATATATATATATATATATATATATAAGAACAGTATCAATTATCATTACCCCTCCTATTTTCTTTTTCGTTTGTTTTGCCCCCCACGCGTGTAAAACGGCGTCGTTTTAATGTATTTATCCACTTCTGTTGTTGAAATATTTTTCGTTTACCCTTTTCTTTGCGCTCTTTACGACCGCGGTCCGTCCGTTCGTGGGGCCCCGATTTCTGCTTTTCTTTTCAAATTTTATTCTCCGCCGCTATTTCCCCTTCCCAATTTCTCCCATATAACGATGCTCGATTATGGCGCCTCCCAATAAACCGCTCCACTTTGTCAATCCCAATACCTAGTCGGCAACTGTTCATCGACGGCGAATGACAAGAATCCGTTAACAGAAAACGGATTCCGATGATCAACCCCGCAACCGAAGAATCCATCGGTTCGTCTCTTTTTGCTTCCTCTGTTACATTTCTAATCATAGGAGTTCAATTTTTGGTTCTTAATTTGTCATGTATTTGATGATTTTTTTTTTCTCGGAGGGTTTTATGATTTGGTGGATCAATTCGTTGAAGTAAACGGAACTCAAAAATCTCAGATCAGTAGTGTGGACATGGTAAAATGTTTGATAAATTAGGGAAAATCTAATCTAAATTGCGAGATCACGAATAATTGATAGGGAAATAACAGGAGTGCCACTGATTGAAATGTTTAGTTTAGTTTTTTTTTTTTTTTTTTTTTTTTTTTTATTAAATTGAATTGTTACTTTTATATTATTTTATTTTGAAATTAATAGAGATAAAGAGTAGGGTTTACGGCTGATGAGTGACCACTGATGTTTTTTTCTTTCCCTGGTATGTGGTACATATGAATATGTCAAGTGATATCTTTTTCGGTTGAAGATATTGATATTGCAGTGGCAGCAGCTCGCAAAGCATTCTTCAGAAATGGTGGCAAAATT